TGAACGAACCTGTACTCAACATTGGGTGGTTTGTCTTCCCTCTTCAGTGCAGCAGCAATCTGTGCCTCGCTTACATCTACACCAATGATCTTCTCAAAATAAGGGGTCAAAGGTCGTGTATTCTGACCTGATCCACATCCCACATCAACAGCAAGCTTGAACGGCTTTGAATGCTGTGGACATTTCAATTCAAATGGAATTAACTTTCACTAAATACATCAAGTCACCACAGGTTCGAGATGTTGACTCATCACAATAATCCTCAGCAATTTGCAGGATAAACAAATTCAATTTATGTCATGTATGTAATAAGTACTAGGCTTCAATTGCATTTTGCTAAAACATGGAACACTGAAAGGTTACGATCATGATATTTGACATGTTTAATGCACAGCTACAACCTTTGACAACACTGAGCCACGACAGCACATAGCTATTAATTAATGATGTACTCCAATGTGGTGCGGACCCCTAAGGTACACTTTCCCCTTGTACATTTCTGAACTGGTCTTGTGTTGGCCTACTACTAATACTTGTACTAGCATGAGGCCTAGCTAGAGTAAAGTAAAATCCAAACGTTAGCGCTGGTTTAGCTAATTAACTACAGGAGAAATAAACAAGTAGGACTAGAGTAGCCAAACGGTGTGCTCTGAGATACCTTCTCTTGTAAATAATCCACGATCCGTTTAAAGACTTTCTGTGGTAACGTGGGACGATATTTCAGATAAACGCCAGCATGAGCTGCCCCCTCGAACAGCTTTATGGGCGCCGCCATGTTACTGATAGCGCCCTCTCAAGTCTGGTGAATGTTAGTCTATGTTAGTGTTACGGACAGGGAGTTCCGGCACAGTGCTAGTGAAGTGTGACACTATTACATGTACATATACTGTACAGGTATATAGCTTTAGGGTAGGTGCGGTTTAACGCGTGCGATTATGGCAGTCAATTTGGATGCCGAATACTTAAACTTTGGTCAGGCCAATACAATACTTTGGCATGAAACGCGTTTCAGCAGGGAGGCAAAACCCCACAAATTCCTATCCTTGCTTAGCCTCTGTTGATCACAATGTGCTAATTTATTTGTTAATTATTGAATCATCCGATCTACGGCAATGTTTTTCATTTTCAGATGTATTTTTTGCGTTGGGGAGAAGTTAATTTATATAACGGGTTTTTGCCCTTACCCAACGTATATATTAATAAACACTGACTCGGACCGGCCAGCCGACCCCGGCAAGCTCGGTGGTCGAGTGGTTAAGACGTCTGCACCAGTAAGCAGGAGGTCGTGGCTTCGAGTCCCACCCGACTAAGCTTAATTTTTTTCGCAAGCTCACAGACAAGCACTGAGCATACAATGTTTACTAATATATACGTTGGGTAAGGGCAAAAATATATATATAAATATATAAATATAATATATATATTCATATATAAATGAATTTCATATTAGTGGTTATTGCGTTAAATTCCAGAGAACTGAACAGTTTATGGCAAATTATTTTAGAGTAAGAAGAAAGAGCAAAATAATGTGCTATCAGCACATGCATTGAGCGGCCATTTTTTTTCCTCATTTACATACACTCGGCAGGATTCATTACCCGCTGCCGGTTGTACGTTTGGAAGACGTTTTTACGACGTGTGGAGACTATGTACCATACGGGAACCAGTCTAAGTGAGGTGCACAAAAGTCACGCATGAAACATGAGGGTTAAAGATCATACGGCAATACTTGTGGTGCACTCTCTGAAAATCCAGATCTGGGCAAAGCAAAGTCGCATGTATTCGCATAGGCCCATGGGCATAAAGCCCTTAGTCGTCCCCACTGCGCCAATATAATAATTTAGTGACAAATATTGATTAAGAATTACCCGAAGACCATGCCTTCTCAATGTGAGACCTGTCCACATCTACGTGTTCGTTGTTGGTCGTGAGCAAAATAAAGAATGTACGAAGCAAAATGCACTTCTAAATAATTACATCAGAAATGCAACCACATTTTGTAACATTCCACCTGAATTTATTCGAGATTGAGGGCAGTGGACATTCCACAGAAAAGAACATATTTACTTCTTTTACCCCCCCCCCCCAAAAAAAAGATTCTTTGCGGAAACAACTTGGACACTGTTCGATTGACGAAAAAGTTGAAATCACTTTCCTTCGTTCTGCAATATAAACTCCAAGTTCTGAATTAATGCATCAATCTTGCATGAAATCGACACAAACTTAATTCATGTATATTACTTAAACAGTGAATTTGCAGTTTGCAAATCGTTTTGCAATACAAAAGTACGTGCACGTAATATGGGTCTGCAGGTATTATGGGACGCATGTATAACAATCGCTGCCCATTTTATAATCCTTACCAGATAAGAAATAGCCCCTCGGTAGTTGAAATAGATCATTGGCATTGCAAGGAGGCTGATCGTTTAAGTGTGATCGTTAGTTAAATGTGCATAACTGCACAAACCCTTTGTGGCATCCTCTATTCCTTGATTTCCTCCTAAGGAAGTGGTTTTCGTCCGAGTAGTAACACAACCGGTGCCTTGAGTCGGACTTTGATCTGCTCAAGCTCGGCCTTGGCATCAAAGATTTCTTTCAACCTGCACAGAATTACAACAGTTCTTCATAACACACGTTTCTGATTAAACGTACATATTGTAATGATCAATGCTATGGTCAGAAGTAATTGTCAATCAACACGACGAGCGGATGCTTTGTTCGGTCATAATAGTTAATAACTGATATCAGCTGTTTTAGAAATTCAAATTCTTTTGCCGTATTTTGGAAAACCAAGGAAGGGACACAGAGATTAATACGCACCTGTCCTGGAATTCATCTAAAGGGTTTGGGCTACTGGGGTTCTTTTTTAAGTAGGTACGTAAGGCTGACAAGGAGCTGAGGAAACCAATGTATGATGGCACAGTCATCTCCCAAACCAACTGGTAACTATCATCTCTATGAAATATAGGAACGAAGCAATAATAACATTGAATATGACGGCAAAGAATAAAATGACTGCAGTTGCGTGCAGTAGTCCTGTTAACCCAATGTAAACCTAGCAAATGGATAATAAAAGAGCCGAACATAAGCAACACGTGACCAGTATTTCAGCTACATGAACAGTAAAAGTGTGAAACTAATGTAAAAACTGTTGATATGGCAGGATTGGTCGAGATTCTTGACGTTAGTCACTATGTAATAAAGACGTCGCCCAACCTCGGGCTCGACATCTGGTGGTTTGGGCACACCCTGTACATTTTCAGGAGACTAAGGATGCATAGTTTTGTCCAAGGTGGTCTCGGCGCTTTTCTTGTTAAAGGAAGATTATCGGGCTTCACACAAGGGACCCACAACAAACGAGCCAACGTGAACTATCACCACCCCTCGTACGACGCAAGCACCATTGCAATCAGTGACTTCTAGCAGAAAAAAAACGCGCAAATGCATGCTGTAGCATGTACATGGAATCTCTCGATCGTGACACCATGAAAGACGCATCGCGAATTAAGTAGTGCTGCAAGCAGTGCTGCAACTAGGTGCCAAGGTTCGGTTCAGAGACGGTTCCGAATTTTTTGCCAAACTTTGGTTTGGTACACATACATGTACGTACGTACAATGCACATTGAGACATCGAAGAGCACGCTACGACCGTGCCGTACGTGTACATAGTAGGCCTACCACCGTGTGTAAACTACGTTAATACAAGCAATGAATCTCCTCTCTATCCCCATCCACGAGCATCTTCGATGTGAACATAATTTTTTTTATAAACTGTTTCCCCAAAGGTTATTTAGGAGTTAAGATTAGAAAGGTACCGTTGGAGGTGTGACATTTTCTGACCGTGTTTTGCCGACCAAAAGCGGAGTGTTTGGACCACGCTCGACAAAACGATCGTACTATGATCGTTTCGTAGGAAATGTGAAAACAGAAAAAAAGCATTCTTAAAAGGGAGTTTCCTTCTTTAAAGGATACAAGATCAAATTAGATTTTCAGCGAACTGTGTTTTGGGGTTTTTTCATGAAACACATTCAACTGCCAAACCATGGCTTTTGAGGTATTAGAAGAACCTTGGTATCAAGTCAGCATTCTTTCACAGGACGGTGCCCACGTGGCCAAAGGGGCGATTTTCCATCAATCTTTTTCGAACCTTATTTGTTCCATAGCAACGTATTCACACTACTACTTCGATCATGCTTCGATCAAACATGATCAACGAAAGGCAAGTTGGGCCACTGCGCGCGCGAACCAAATCTTGTCGCGCGCTGGAGCGCTGCACTGGCCCGCCTGGCAAAGTCACATTTCCCTGCAGAGTTACCTTCGATCGAGCACGAGTCTGACTGTGATTAAATCAAAATTCGCTTTGTATGGCCATTTAATGCATCATTGGCCTAATATGGAACCCGAGGGCGTGGCTATTGGAGATTGACAACACCATACCTAAATTTGAATGGCCCTATACATATTGACGTAGTGAGAATTTAGAATATTGTGCAGCGGAAATGCCGCACCTTGCATGTCTGGTTGATTGATAGTGAATTCTCACCACGTGCTTTTTACAACTATCACGCGATGTGGGGCCATCGTAAGTCTTTTCTGTACGTGTGTACACGCACATGTGCCGAGCGCCAGTGCGACACCGGTGCGGCACAACTCGTTATCCATTTTTCGTTGTGTTTGCTTTATTATCACGTTTCTTGCATAGATTCCGTGTGCTGCCAGTGTCATGCCATATTAAAGCTGAACATCCCGAACAGACCAGTTTGGTTCGGTTAAGAAATGCAATGTTTGGCGATTTTTGGTACATTTTACAGTATAATTTGCCTCTCATGGCACATAAGTGTGCACTATTAAAAACAATGACAATAATACATGTATTCCGTGTTCTTCATATCACGAGGGTGTGGATTGAGAAACGAGTACAAATTTTAATCTTGACACAAATTAAATTCTATCTTCATAACAAACCTGAGGAGAACATGCATGATTATTCGATTCTTTATTTGGCGAAAGGGGTCGCAATAATGACCATTTGTGCCCCTGTTGTTAGCATTTCGGTATTTTAAGTTCATTCACGATATGTCATACCTGATGCTTCCTGGATAAGGAATGCTGAAATCAGCAAACAGGTTGTGATTATGTCTCGTCCGGTGATGGTCCCAATATGGTCCCAGAACTGTGCCCTCGCAAAACTATGGCAGAAATAGACGAGCGAAGCTTTAGAAAAAGGGGCTAAAAACAGCCACAGCTCGATGCAACAGGAATGAAAATTTGATTCTGTTACGTATCCCACCATGGAGTGCACCTTTAACCAGCCCAATACTTTGGGTCCCCACTGCATCCTGCGTTGTCAACTCTGATAGCGTGAGGGATTCATAACTACGAGCTAACAGTTATGTAATTACGCTTGGTACTGTTCACATTTGGGGTTCAAGTTCCTCTAAAATCTCAGACCATGGCTTGAAAGTTTTGCCTTCTTTTCACCTCCATCATCTGATAATGATCATTCATGACTGCAATGGTACCATCATCATTACAAGGTGTTCAGCTGTCTGTACAGTTCTGTATAATGTTCTCATTTCCATGTTATCGCCATGTCCAGGCTATAGTATTTCATCATGGTTGTCTCTAATCCATATCACTTTGTCAGTACCTAGACATTATATTTGCGCGTCACCAGTCTGCACTTCAGTGATCACGAGATTGAACCACGTACCAGTAGCTTCAGGGTACCACAACCCTTTGACAGACGAATACGTTGTGTTCTCCGCTTTGTCAAAAGTATCCAGACCGAGTATACCCGCATTATACAAGACATTTGTGTCTATTTATGCGGGAAGCCGACATTTGGGTGTGTCCTGCGACGAAAACACTACATGTAGTGTGATTATATTCCAACGCAGTCGCACAATATTGCACGTAGTGTAATATGAAATAGGCGTAATGGCGACTTCAGGGGCTTCTCTGGCAGAAACGAGTATATCCACAAACCTGGTTTCTCTTTCGCAATACAAGCATTCGACTTTGTTTTGCATCCTTCAAATACCTGTGCATTGCGTTTCATTTAAAAGGTTACAAATAAGTGATTAGGATTTCGATTTGACATATTCGTTGCCAATGGTAACCAATGTGCAATTTTATTCACCGAAAATCTGTCTTTGTCCTAAGCCGTCGGTACTGAGTATTCATTTTCATTTGCTGTAATTCAAAATTCTCGTTTAGTTTGATTAGAAATACAGGGTCACAAAAATCATGACATCACTTTGATAATGGATGTAATGTTACTCACGAAGAATCAAAGTGTGTTATCAAACTATACACAAATTAAAGTCAATGATTTTTCTGTATCTTCTCGTTCAGCCATTGCAAGAAGGCCATGTGTAAACTTTTATGTAATTGTGGCAAAACCGTAGTACGAGAAGGAAAGGTCACCTCAGTGTCGGTGTTTGTATTGGGATTCGTACAATAGTCAGTATGTTTTTAAGGACAACATCTATTTCAGTCATGAATATTCAAACATCTAACCATTCAACTAATTACTTCTAGGAATATAACTTATGGTTAGCACACAAACGAATTCCAATTCTTGACCAGGCATACCTTAAATGACACTTCTCGCAAAATCGCCTGAACATTTTGCGAAATAGATTGAGTTCGAATCAATATGAATTCAGGATTTCAGAGGTACATTCAATTCGTACAAAAAATGAATGCAAACATTCTAAACAAGTGCAATGTCGAGAAACTGGACGCTGACTTTATACGGCTGAATGCAACCTCACACAAATAGAAGTTTTATTTGTTAAATAGAAAAGGGGATTTGAATGTTCATTCAATTGCGCTGAGCCTTGCAAACGAATGCTGCCATTACTAATTCATTTACACATTTTCTGAAATTGGCCGGGAAATCTGTTAGACCTGTATGACATGCCATCCCTGAACCCTCCACTTTATGGTTTCTATGGGTTTGTACTGAAGTTACCGGTACGTAGTGCAATCTCACGTGACCCCTTTCGCGTCATGATGACTACACGGAATCTCAATCAAACTTCATCTTCTAGGGAAGCTTCATATAATTTGGTGATTATGTTTGAAATTCTATACATAGGTTGTGCATTGATTCATTTTTCAGGTAAGAGCTTTTGTTCCACAGGGATGTAGAGAGCGGTGTGATAGTATGTGATAGACTTGTATGATTATCCGAAATTGTTCTGGAGACTTGTCAAGCTTGTTGAGGCATTCAGAAACGGCAAACAAAATATCACAAGAAAAAGGACGAAACACAGTCACCTTGCGATTGTATGATCGCACAAGCTTTACATGGCGATGACTGAACACACAAAACAAAGTTTTGATGCAGTCACAGGGGGAATTACCGTGGCAAACTTAGCGATTACAAAAACTAAGTACTTTCTATGTATGAAAGAAACTGAATTGTATGTACATGTACAATGCGCACACTAAAACTGTGTGTCATATATGCAAACACATCGCAAGTACAAGTGCATTATTAAAGCAAGCAAGGAATGTGGCATTGGTTGTCTTCTCACGTGACTACATACGAAACTGATTAATGTTCATTAAATTATCCCTCCATAACAAAAGTAGCTACCGATTGATGCCATGAAAAACCTGTATAGGCTATCCTTTCATTTGTTTGCTTGTATTGACAAAAACACAAATGCTTTGATTGAATAATACTCTAACTTGCCGTTGGCCCCTTCGCGCCGGATGCCGGTTGAATAAGGAATTTCTAACTGAATCCTGGGATTAAACTTGCACTCCTCAGTCAGCTGGTCATCAGTAATTCTTTACTGGCATGGTCAGCAAGGTTCATTATTTTTTGCCTCTTCAAAACCAACATTTACTGGATTTTAAAACCACGACTAGCTACTCACATCTGTGTGTAGCTCCTGCAATCTTTTATCTGTTGTCTCGTCACCATCACAACCCTCTGGTAGGAGGCTTCCATGCGAGGAGATAGCCATGCAACCAGATGGCTGTAAAACACGATCGACTTCCTTGCAAAAGGCTGTATAGTCCAACCAATGAGCAGCCTGGAAGCAGGTAACCAGACAGACCGAGTTGTCTGGGACGGGAATCTTCTCCCCTTGGCCAGTTCTTTTAAGAAAAGGGAAAGTGGTGGAGAGCTAAAGAACCCCGACACTACAATATCCTTGAAATTCCAGCAAGACTTGCAACGATCTTAGAAAGTTCCACAGGACTGAGAAGGTAGAGCCAAGTTACTGTTAGTGCCTAGAATTTGATTTGTGTTTTTGCCAGTTAGAGTAAATACATGTACATGTTTAAGTACATGTATAAAAGTGGCCTTTTTGTTCCGTGCTCAGTTGAGTGCTTTGAAGGACTCGTTTACTAGAGACAAAATCAGATAAACATGATTTGCATGGGTTGGTTTCTCTTTCTTCCTGTTATGTCAGATATCTGTTTCCAGATACAGTGGAACACTGTTGTGAGAAGGTCCTTTGGACTTTACAAATTACCTTGTTATAATAGTTACCTTACATTATCAGTCATGAAAAACCAAGAAAACAAAGACTTGGGGCCTCAAACTATCCTTGTTATAAACGTGACTTTGTATTAACAAAGCTCTTCTTATGTGTGCTAGACTGTATAGTATTATGACATCCTACCTCTCAGAAACAAGTCTCATTTCAACTGACACATTTAATATCAAACTGGCCAACCTGTATTCAACATTGGGTGGTTTGTCGTCCCTCTTCAGTGCAGCAGCAATCTGTGCCTCGCTTACATCTATACCAATGACCCTTTCAAAATGAGGGGCCAAAGGTTGCGTACCTTGACCTGATCCACATCCCACATCAACAGCAAGCTTGAACGGCTTAGAGTGCTGGGGAAATTTCAATTCAAATTAATTTTTCACCAAATATCAATTGCTATCGAGTTCAGCTATCGAGCTGCCATCACCGTCAACATCAGGTTATGTCAACACTGTATATTGTCAAGTGAAAAATATTCAAAACTCTTTCGAAAAACCCAGCAAAAGTTAGAAAAAAAATTAAACAAACATGACATATGGCATTTGATTCGTCATGGTGTTCATGTAACCGCAAAATGTTTATTTAGCCAAAGTTTTGGCTACGTGGAACACAATAATTCCGATCAGACGATCATGGCATTGGGATACACAATAGGTGCTCAGAGAGCTGGGGATGGGCTTAACTTAAATTAGGCCTATCGTGGCTACAATTACTAACCCATTACTATTAGGCTATACTAAGTTATAGTGTAGCGTGATTTAGCCCCACTGTGGCACGGACTCTCACTCCCGATCCACCCTACTCTAAAATTGGTTTAGGTAACGGTTCTGTGCTAATTAGCAACTGTAGGACAGATAAAAGTAGATACCTTCTCTTGTAAATACTCAACAATACTTTCAAAGATTTTCTGCGGCAATGAAGGTCGATATTTTAGATAAACGCTTGCGTGAGTTGCCCCCTCGAACAGCTTGACGGGGGCGGGCGCCGCCATGTTGCATAATAACGCCCTCTGGGGAATGTTTAGTATTAGACTGGTTTCTAGTCGCTCGTCGACTTGAATTCGCTTGTCGTCCAGCGCCCGAACAAAGACCTTTTATAAGTGACTTCGTCACACTAGAGGCGGACGTGACACGATTTTCAGGCTCCCATCGCTAAGGGTGCAGACCACTAATTCAAGTGAGAATTTTTGACCAGCTCATTAGCATTAAAAGTGCCCCCCGCATTATCTTTTGAAAAAGGAGATTGTTTGGCCCCAAAATGGTGAGATTGTGTAAATCGTTGGCAGGATCAACTTCCTGGGTCTTTGAGCTTTTATATGAGATCAGAAGGGCTGAACACTACGGTTGAAAAATGGTCCTAAGTGCCCGAGAAAAATGGCTGCAATCAGACTTCGGAAAAATCACTTTTTGGGGGGTGATTTCAATTGTTTTGTGGGAATAATTAAAAATGTAATTGGTTAACCCACAAAAAATTGAAAAGAAAGAATTTCATTTGTGTTGCAGAAATCTCAGGGATGTTGGCGTGCATGCTATTGGGCCCTGAACGGTGCTGATTTTACACTGTTTACAATGGGGCTTGAAGTAGTGAACTGGACCCCTAAAGTTGTGCGTTAACTTCCGGTTCTATGTAAACGGCAATCAGCGCATGTACATGTAAGTCTATGTGCAGTGCACGTGCAGTGGGTGTTGTTTAAACTGCAGTGACTTCGGACACACGAAAGGATACATGCAGTCAGGCGGCACTGCTATGAAACACTGGCTGCAGGTGAAGAGTTGAAAATGATGTCCGAAACTAATAAAACAGCTACCGGAGCGGTGACAAGCACCAGGTTATTCGAAGGGGCGGAACACGCCGATCTTTACTTGAAATGTCGTCCCGACTGGCCGGAGGAAATCATCCAGAAAACCCTAGCTTTTCTGCAGGAAAAGGTTAGCAGTCAATCTGGTAACTATGTATGCCGCGCCTGGTCATAAGCGTGCAGATAGACAAAGATTTTTCATCCGTTTGGGTGGTTGTTACTATAACAGAATAAAATCAACTCCTCAATTCTGTTACATGTATTGACGGACACGAGCAAGACTCAAAATAAAAATGAGTGTGTCTGATGAGCTTTGCTGTGTCTTTCTTTTTAATCATCATATAATTTCTGTATTCTGTACATGTACTATATACACAAGTTGGTTTTGCACACAGAAATCCGGGCCGTTTGAGCTTGCTGTAGATGTGGGGTGTGGGTCAGGTCAAGCTACCCGACCTTTGGCCTCACATATCAAGAAGGTTGTGGGTGTCGACGTGAGTGTGGAACAGATCCGTGCAGCACAGTGTGTGGACAATCCTCCAAATGTTGAATTCAGGTGAGATTTGTCACATTGCTTCGTAGAAACATAAAGAAAAGAGTAACAAGCATCAAGTAAAATCCAAGTCCTGTGTTGTAATTAGCGAGGATTTTAATTAGTGGCTATATAGTTGCGGAAGCTGTAACGGGACTTCCAAATACTGTAACTACGGCGTGACGGCATTGTACGGTACAAGAAGCAGCATTGCCAATCTTTTAAAGGTTTGGACTCTACCTCACAGGAGCTTCGGTTTTCTAACCAGGAGGTGGACCCTCGTACGAGACCTGTGACACTCGTGATTTTTTTCTTTTTTTGTTCTTTAATTTCTAAATTTTGTTCCAGTGTATACTTTCGGCAATAGAGTCATACATATTTAAATCTATTATATAGTGCCTTCAACCATCTGTGACGTCCGAATTAAATATTCATGCTGTGTGGATAAATGCATCTTCACAACATGCAAATATGGTGCGTGATATAGGGCCTATCAATACAGCGGCCAGTAAGGAGTGATTTGTAGCTTGTTCAATTTCCTAAGAGAAAAACTACTTTTAAATCTTGACTAAGGTTTTCACCTCTGTTTCAGGACCGTAGCATTTGGTTACCTTTTTTTACTTACATTTATTCTTAACATCTTTCACAGGACAGGCAGTGGGGAAGCTATTCCAGTCTCTGACAAGTCAGTTGACCTGGTCACGTGTGCACAGGCAGTGCACTGGTTTGACTTCGATGTCTTTTTCCGAGAGGTGGATCGTGTACTGAAGCCTGGTGGCTGCGTGGCTATCTACTCTTACCACATTTTTAAGCCTTGGGTGGATGGTGACGACAAGAAAAATGAACAACTATACAGCATTGTTACTCAGGTACTTTCATAGCGTGTGTACACGTATGGACAGGCAGGTGGTTAAATTGGAAAACAATAACGCTTTCTTTTAAAAACGCAATCCTTTCTTGGAGAATTAAAACGAGCATTTGCATGCAAGCTTTCCGTCTCTTGAAACACAAGAAACAAATGGAAATAGACCGAATCATCGAGGAGGATAACTAAAGGGCGTAGATCTTGAATATGTAATAAGTAGAGGTAAATCTGACAAGCTGATCGAAGTTGTGACATAATGTATTTAAAAAGACTTATTTTTGGTTTCGCTTTTACATTCTTGTCAGCATGACACAGAAACGTGTGGACCATACAACAGTCCCCGTATACTACACTTGCAGAACATGCTAGCGGATGTCCACATTCCTTACGAAGAAACCATCAGGTATCCAAGGGGGACTTTTTTGTTTTACTGCGGTATATCACTGCGCATGCCCGCTCGAACAATTTAGGCGGGCGCATAGTGTGTAAATCATGGTTGGCAGTTGGCCAGATGTACTGAGGACGTATCACAGTGCACTGATGAGATAAAATGGGTGTCATCGGGTGCATACTTTGCTGTCGTAAGCACTGTAAGCACGTGAGTGGAATGGTCTCCATTTCAAAAGGCGGTAGCCTTTGCGCAGACCTTCGCTATGAATATTCCATGAAAATTATCACCCAAACCGGAAACGGTAAGATTGCGCCTTTCTCTTGTCAGTGATCAAATAATAATTAGTATACGCTAGTTTTTGCCTACTTGTGCAATGCGACGACCGTGGTCCCATTCTATCCCATCACGCACTGCGGTAGATACAGTGATAAGTCATTAATACAAAGGGCAAAGTACAGGCCTACAACGTTGGAGCCTGAAGTCAGTAAATTTCACACTTTAGCCTGTGGGTGCTGTTATCACTAGAACAGTGTGTGTACGGGTGCGTTCGATTAGCTTCCCTGAATACACCAGTATTACAGGCTAGGGGAGCCTCGAAATGAGGCTAATCGAATGCTGTAGTGTATTCACCAAGGCATTCTGGGAAAAAGGTCAAGTCCCCGCCACGTTCCATCATTATATATAACGGTTTTGCCCCTACCCAACGTATATTAATAATTGGTTATTGGATTGTAGGTCGTTTCCTGAAATGAGCTACTAGGACAATGGCAGGGGTTTTGACATCAAGTGCTCACGTACTGGCAACCACAGAAGACATAGACCTAGACAGGAGATTGCATTGTCATAAGAAGACAAATTATAGTGGTTGGACGTGTTTCATGGGCCGTTTATGTAATGATGTATACAGTAATATTTGTTGGACGATTCCAGTTTTAACAAACCACGTCCAAGATTCGTGTTTTCCATCATCGGCGAGAGAACTCTTTGTTACCACAATTGTGCAACAACTTTATATTATGGAGTGTTTTTCCTGTGTGTAATAATACTGAAAACGAAAAGGATTACTTGTGATGACCAACCTGGAGCCAGTTTTACAGTGCATTCCTTTAGGCGCTTTCCCTGTGCACGAAAACGCTGCGACTTTGTGCACACTCCGTTAAAAATCTAATATTCGCTTTCAGCCGGCGCCTTGCGTGCGCTCATCTTGTGCTTTAGTTTGTGATTACCTTGTAAGATTTTATTTTGGGGGGGGGTCAAACATGTTATGATTATCTATCAGGAAAATCAGCACTGGAAACCATGCGAAAGCGGAAACACGAAGTGAAGACCTTTCATGACTCCCTCTCTCTTTCTTATCCGCAGAGATAACACTCTTGCTATTCGCCAAGACACTACAATGAAGTCTTACATCGGCTATCTGGAGTCTCGATCCGGATATCAAAGTTACCTGGAAAACAATCCAGATGACAAGGCTGATCCCCTCAAAGAGGTTCAGGAAAGGTGAGAAATACTTCTAGCCGCTGAGCCATGGAGTCACTGTAGACCTGTAACTACCTGTAGCTAGGGCAGGAAAGGATAAAATCTTTTAAACACTTGCCAAAAACTTTCACTCGAGACGCAACATATTGGCAGAAGTGGCGTTGTTTTTAACTTTACTTTGAATTTAGTTTCTGTTTTTTCTTTCTATAGGCTGATGGATACGCTTGGTCTGGACGCTCCTGCTGAATATTCCAAAATAAACATTCGCTCTCCCATAGCATTTTTGCTTGGACGAAAACCAGATAACAATTGAGAGCTGAATGACATTGGTTGCAACAAAACCAACACCCACCATCCCATTTAAGTCGTAATATCTGCAGTCGTGGACTCTTTTTCGCTTTGAGTTTGTTATGTAATATGTTTTCAATGTTATAGTTATGTATTCATGTTTTCCATTGAATGCAACTTTAATATATCAAGCAAAATAAATGACGCTTAACTGTAAAAATGATATTATTTACAAACAGGCCATCAATATGTCTTGAATGTAAGAAAAAGTAGGTCTACTTTATCTGTTACTGAATCTGTAAGTTTCCAAGGGATACCAAAACGACGGGGGGTGAAAATTCGTTTAGAGTGCACTGAACGTTTGAATAGAGATGTAAGCTGGAAGCTGGAAAATGGGCCGTTGTGGCATTTCTTTAGAACACTGTAGTAAGTAATATTTGTTTCCTCTGCGTTTGGCGGGGTATATTAATTAAGGTAATTGGGAAATACAAATCAGAAAATCAGTTAAAAAGGAAATGGCAAACCTGTATATGCAAAATTTGTGTGCTGGGCATGGCAGGTACAACAAAACAGATAAATGAAAAAGGAAACGAGAAACAAAAAATAAGTGAAACATGAAAAAAACAAACACGGGTAACCGTGAAAAACTTTTGTTATAAATTATACAGTGAATAAACAAGTTATAAATTCAGCAATGAACTGTGGATCACTCTTAAAGGTGATTCATTGCTCAACTCCTCAGCAAATAAAACTCCACCACATGAGTAGAAGATTCCGTTTACTTTCTGTGTACAAAAAATGTACATGTACTGTACGTACATCGTCGCTGCATTCTGCACTTGCAATGACTTGGCAAATCTAATGAACCAGATCCCGGGGATTGTGAATTTGGGAACCCGTTTCTATACAGAAGAGAGACCTACATTTTAACCTTTGAATTCCCTATGACGATGACATCATGCTCAATAACTGTATTGTTAGGGATGGTGTGAAAAGAGGGTATATAGAGTTTTGAGTTTGTAGGGAACTTATGAGGGGAAACTGTGAGTGTTTGAACACATGACACATGGCGGAGTCAAATTTGCAAGGCTGGTTTATCAGTAGGAAAGTTACATTTTCTCTCAATGTACAATTTGAAATAAAAAAAGTTACAGACAGCGTTACCTTTGTTTTATTGGGGGAATGAAGAGCTTTGTAGAGAAACTTGGGGGTGCCCAAATTCACAATCCCAGACCCTTTCTCTATGGAATCTGCACTTTGTCTTGTTTAACCCCAAACACAACAACTGGATACCATGAACTTTCCGTTTCGGTTCTGACACTGGTGCATTGCCAAAGGTGCGTACGTATAGAGTACATGTGTACTACGTTGAACATCAGTACGCTACGCAGGTTGGTTCCATGAACACAATGTAATTTATATTGCTTATGATAGAAGGGAGCCATACTAAGAAACGGCGCGCCGTTTCTTCGTGCGCACAAAAATAACGATTATAAAGTCTGTTCACAGAACACTAAAAGCCGGCTTTGATTACAAACTAATAGCAAAAACGACTTACTGGGATTTTCTGAAGAAAAAAAATGAACAAAGTCAGAAAACCGGATAGAAAATGATAATCGAAGTTGCACCCCTGTACATTTTCAATGGCCCGCCCACACTTCTTGACGCCAAGGCCATTTGTGTGCACGCATACATAATTATTAATTTATTAGTGAGGATTAGTGAGATTAGTGAAAAGGTCAATTGTTCAAATGACTGCGCAACGACATTTAACCCCTTAGCCCATTGCCACAGTCACTACCAACAAGCAGAACAAAACACTATACAAACTGAATCTTCGTTTCATAAAGTTTCAAAAATCCCTCTCCCTTTTTTTTATTAAAGATTTTAAAGAATTGAAAAATTAAAAAATTAAAAAAAGAAAGAAAAAGAAAAAAAAGTTGGCATTTACGGGCCTTCGTACTATCGACGCCATGTTTGTCGTTGGGTAGACACAGCATAGGATAGATCAGTTTTCCCGCCGTTTAAGTTGTAATTCTCAAAGACTCTTCTAACAAGACGCATTCCAAGGCAATTAACGCATTGTTCTCTAAGGCAACGCATTCAAAATGAGGCGACTTGGATTTCCAATGATTACCCTACTGATGTGTGCATTGAGATGTCTCGTCAGCACACCCGGGGTAGAAGCACAAACAGGTAGGTCACTTTCATAATAGCGATGGTGTATGTGTTGCTTGAAGTGAGGGTCAAAGGGAATTCATTTTTCACAAATATGGATTCCCTTGACTGATGTGTCCCTAGCCAGGATAGATCTTATTGCTTTGGTTCGCATGTTAATTCAGAACAGCTTGAAACGAGATCATAACTGGATTTCAACAGGATTAAAAACATTGCCAAGGAAATTTGCATATTTAAGGGAAACAAAAACAAAAAGAATAAATCAAATATGCTTTGCCCAAGAGTTTCAAGTCATTGTTCACTGTTCTGTTATGGAGTGTACGTAGGCCCTATCAGTTTAAGTTGCGTATTGTATGTCGCATATTGTAAACACTTTTCTTTTGCAGTCTCTGTGCGTCTCGTGAATGGAGCATCCTCTAACGAAGGTCGTGTTGAGGTGTACTACCAAGGCCAGTGGGGTACAATTTGTGACGATCATTGGAACCTTGAGGACGGTAATGTCGTCTGTCGTATGCTTGGCTTACCTCCAGCAACTCATGCCTGGGGCAATGCTCACTTCGGCCAAGGATCTGGACCAATTATTCTTGATGATGTCAGTTGCTACGGCTTCGAATACAGCATCGCTGACTGTCAGCATGAAGGCTGGTTTAGCAATGATTGTAGTCACTCTGAAGATGCTGGAGTTGTTTGTGGGGAAGCCGTCGGAACGCCAAGTCCATGTAAGTTACTGGCTGATGGTCATCTCACTTTTCAAGACCTGTTCTGTCATCTGGCAGAACGCTGAAGGTCTTCATTTAAATTCGAGTTTATTTGTTGTATAGCCAGTCAGCCGCTCTTTGCATACGGAGTGCATTAGATCGTATATGTTACCTGACCTTATTAGAAAACCACAATTAGAATGTTTCAGAGCTTGTCAGTGCTACGAAGGCCTTTTAAATCTAGTAGTAGTAGTGATGACTACATCGTTGGTATATGTTGCTTGAGGTAAAGTACTACTGTTTGGACAAACGGGATATTTATGAAAGAGTGCAATGTAGCAGTTATTTGATCGGGAGTCAATTCCTTGTTTCTAAAAAATTTGTGTAGTAAAATGGGTAATTCAGCCGAAGGATACTTGAGGTGATTTCTTGGCTACAATAGTGACTGTCAAATAAGATCATTTCAAAATTTTGGGTTTTTTTATGCTATAGTGTCAGTCAGCCTTGTGGGTGGTAGGTCCCATGAAGAGGGTCGTGTTGAGGTCTGCTACCTGGGGCAGTGTGGTACAGTTTGTGACGATGGATGGGACCTTGATGACGCGAATGTCGTCTGTCGCATGCTTGGCTTACCTCCTGCAACTCATGCCTGGAGCAATGCTCACTTCGGCCCAGGATCTGGTCCGATTGCTCTTTATGATGTCAATTGCTATGGCCATGAATACAGCATCGGTGACTGTCAACACAAAGGCTGGTTTAGAAATGTTTGTGGCCACTCTGAAGATGCAGGAGTTACTTGTGGTGTAGCCATCACATCACCAGCCCCAGGTTCGTCGATTTCAATTGATTATTTCCATTCTGAAAACCGTTCTGCATTTTTAGTAAAATCCTGTCTGACGGGAGTGTCCTTTGGGTACGTCCGATTTACGTTTTCTAAAAAAAATCTGACTGTATCCTGCAGTGAAATTTCTATCTATCCTAAATCCTGTTGCTGTGGGGTTTTTTCGGAATGATCTCGAGATTCTGTAGAATCGTAGCATTGCTGTGGCTAAATCCATCATTAGACCACCACGCGCTGCACCACGCCACGAGTCAATCGGGACCTGGTTGAACATTCTGGCTAGAGAGAGCAGATCGAGATAGTGGTGCACCAGAGGGGAAGGGGGCTTCATCCCCAAAGGGAATGCAATACACACGCACATCTTATACAACTATGGCCAATATAGTCGTTGATCCAAGTCCCTCTGGCGAACCTGCCGTAGGGAAGGGGCTTGGGCATCATAACCCGCTTTTTGGGGGGTGAAATCCGGTCCAAGCTCCCCTCTCTGCCCAATAGAAACTCTGGTGAACCGAATGGACTAACTTTGTTAACTTGAACACTTTTGACATAAAACTTAAAGATTTTTGGTCGGTTGTGAATGGCTCAAGAGGGAGTAATTATTATTTTGGACTTTTTCTTGTATTGTTAACCAAGGATTCCTCAGCAGCACCCTAGGCACTACAGCTCTCAGGCCTGAAAAAGTTGTTGCTTTTGAATTCTAATATTCAAAAACAGAATTATTCTTAATGTGTACAGGCGATTTCTTTCGTCTTTCTGGGAGTTCGCCATCACAAGGCACAGTGCAAGTTTGGAGCAATGGTCAGTATTCCGACCTGTGTAGCGATGACTGGGACCACAATGCTGCTAAAGTAGTCTGTCGCCAGGAGGGGTATCCAACCAACGCAGTGTATGTGGTTTATAACACCAAGTACTTGGGTAAGTCATTTACTTGTGAGTTCAACTGAGAGACATTGAGAATAGATGACGCAAAAACCATGTTTTCCTTAAATTGCAAGTTTTCTGAAACCCAATCAAATACATATATTTTCGTAAGTCGGTGCTCGATTTATACCCTGTGATCTCTCTGCAACCTTTAGATAAAACAGAGATACAGGACTTAAAACACCCGCTGTTTAAATCAAAGTTTTAAACGATTTTTGAGCAAGAGGCAGTATTTTCAGAGAAAAATCTCGACAAAATGGAACATGTAGGCATCGTTGTTATTTCAATGCAGTTTTGGACTGACTCAATTATGTCGTTTTCATTGAAGGTCCTTTCCACGCGTACTCTCTGTCTTGCTCTGGTTATGAACATGACCTTTCCCAGTGTGCAACGCCCACAACCTCGCACACTTCAACATGTAGAACTGCCAAAGTGAACTGTCGACCATACCCAGGTAAAGGTATTGCCATATCTGTGCATAGAGAGAGTAGCGCCAACTTCAGACCTATAAACCAAAATGCTTGTTAATTATGCATACCGTGCGGCATGCAGCTAGTGTCGCCATGTGCACTAAGACATAATCGTCCATTTTGGTTCCAACAATTAAAGGCACTCAGGTCGCAACTTTCTCCATAAACAGCTCTGGGTATTGCTTTGTTATATCTTATAAACGACGACACAGGATTGAATGAGATGAATGATACATACCTGAAGGACGGTTGAACTTCGAGGGTTCAGCCTTTTTATTTAATTTTGTCTTTAACAATTGATTAATGTCTTAAACGTTTCGATGTCTGTGATGACTGAAGGGTTTGTCATTCGTTATGATTCACTATATATGTCTGTGTTGATCTTTGCTAGGCCTGTCCACCGGCGCCGTTATTGGTATCAGTGTAGCGTCTGCAGTGACGGTAATCTTTATCGTCATCATTGTCGTCATAGCTTTAGCCAGACGCAGGCGCAGAAAGCCCTCGCAGACATCCAACATGAACATGCCCTTTGCTACAGCTGCGCAGCCACCAGCGACGGATCCGAGGTATTCCGGGGAATAAAGGCACCAGTAACCCCGTTTATTGGGATACTTCTCTTGCCCAGCCCGTGCCGTATCAACCGCCCAAGGGTACCACCCAATGCCCTTCAGCAACCAGCCCCGACCCATTCTGTCCCAAGCACCTTCTACTTATAGGCTCACCACTTGTATTCCCCCGTACGGGCGTCCCCCGCACCAAACGCTGGTAGTGTTTCGAACCCACCCTCAGGATTTGCCCAGATGTCCAGTCCTTCATCTCAGTTACCCCGTTGTTGCTCCTCGGCCACCATCCCAAACCCAGTTTGTCCCAGACCCAGCCATGGCTCAGTCGTCAACCTGTGAGTTATATTTACGCTCTACCACAAATCCCGTTGGAAATGTGGACACCGCTTTTCAGGTCAAGGTGATGTCAGTGGGAACGTAAGTATGAGAATTATGTTACAGGAATTTAAACTTTGATTTCAACTGGAAGATCTAAATCATAATTAAATTAGCATATTGTGGGAAGGATTTATACTACAAATTTAAATAAAAAGATTTGAAAAATAAACGGGTACACTAACAGCGGCATTCCTATTTTTTAAGTTTTGATAATGCTGTACACAATTTTTACATTAAGTTTAATATTCAATGAGATCTGATAATTAAGGAATTTTGTCTAAATGATAAGAAAAAAAGTGTTTTGAGCAAATTGGCACATCAATGCATTATCCAACAATAATATCCCACAATGAATTGGGATAGGTGTGCCGATATGGTTTTCCTTATTTTGGGGGCTGGGCAAGATCGTGCTACCTCTTGAAGAGCGAATTGAGATATTTACTCTTAGGTTTAGATATAACCAATATTGAAAGAAAAGGTAGAAAATCATCATGTTACCCTCAGCAAGAATAGAATACACCACAAATTCGTACACATTATATTTGCTTTCGTGATTATTCTGTGTTCAGAATTTTGGTATTCATAATTTCGGAGAACAGAATTAAGTTTTACCTGTTTTATTGTTTATTAGTTAGAAAAGTGTGTAGTCATTAGACTAATATTTTGCATTATGTGAAGAATCAATTGCATTCCAAATGTATGCAGCTGTTTAAGCAAATTATTTCGTTAGAGCTTAAGGCTTTTACTGGCGTATCCCGAGGATCGATTTCTTTACCCCACCATTCACATTTTCGACCATTCTCCTTCCCCCACCCTAATCGCCGAAGAGTGAAGTTGTCTGAAAAAATGTAGATCTTATTTGGTATGTATTACTGTTACAAAAGAATAGTTAGTACATTTTGAAACTTTTTATCCCACCAGTGAAGTGGGATTTACATTATTCTCAAGTTAAAGTTAGGTGTGTGAAAAATATTATTTGAATTTGATGCTTTTTTGCTTTGAAAAGGAAAACTTTTAAAAACAAAACATGTTAAGTACATGAAAATATTTGTCTAAAGTTTGTATCAGGTATAGGCGAGAGTCAAGAGATTAATAGGGTTGTTAATTGAAAACTCGTAGCGTTGAGGATAATTTTTATGCCTACTTAGAAGATGTGTACTTTAATATTGTACTTGAAGGTTATGCATCAGTTTATGCGCAGTAGTGTTTTTAATTAGCTTTTTTTTTAAACTACAGACTTTAGGAAGAATTTATGTATTATTGTCTCTTTACGATGGGTAACAATTTAAAATAAGGTGTGTGAAAAAAAGACTTTTGTATTTTAAGCTCCTTTGCCTTTGAAAATGTTAACTTTGAGGCATAAAGCGTTGAAGTGTTTTTTTAAGATATTACAAATATAATTTTTGTGCCTACTCAGATGATACAAGCTTTCTTAATGCTTTTGGAATTTCATACAGCATTAAACATTTATACAGTCACTTTAAGTGAACTTTGTAGTGTAAATACTCTATATATTTTAAGAAAAATACGATATGTATCCTATCCTTTTGATGATTCAAGTAATGCCCTCTCAGATTTTCATGGATATTATTTTAAGTAGCTATTATAATCAAATAGTAAAAATTGCCAAACGATTGGTACCTTTTCCCGCCACAAACTTGAATGCAGCACATCATGGTTTCCCTTGAGAAAGCACAGCATGCTGCAATGTGGTGATACACTCAGCCATTGACGGAGACCGTTTGAGCACACATAAACAACGGGAAAAGGAGTAACGGTTATGTTTTGAAAGGTACCTTGTTTGAGAAATCCGATCGTTTATAGATGCTACTAGTGCTCGACATATCATAAGTGATAACTTTGTACACTTATCGTATCCAGATGATACATTTTGTGTTGAATTTACACGAAATAAAGATAATGAATTCCCCCGCTATGAATGCCGCCCTTCATTGTAAATCAACATTTTGCACACAAGGTTTCTTTGTTTAAAGGTGGAAAGGCTTGCGGTAGCACCATGCGTAGGAATATGTTTCGTATGGGTTTGTGTGGTTCTGAAAAGAACCTGGGTATACTTTTTGCTGGGCCATTAATAGCCTGAAATTCCATCTTCTCTGTTTAACCAACTATCCAACGTATTTCTTCTCATTGAGGTAAGTATGTATCAATCTTCATTTATTTGGTAGTAAACCTTTTTTTCATGTGTTGACCTCTTTTGGTTGAAAGCGCTTGGGAATGTGCGAAACATTGGCTTCCCCAAACCAAAGAGCTGTAGGTATGCCAGCAGCCATCTGGAGGGCTTATGTTATTTTAGCAACGGCCATTGCAGGACAGGAAACAGCTAGCTGTATCCTGGAGGAACAAAAGCACTGTCTATAACGGCTGCTTGGTGAAAATCAAAAACCGAGACATTTGAAGCAAGATGTGGGTCGGAGACTCCCCCTTTTGTGTTGGTCACTGTTTGACCAGAATTTCAGGATTTCTTTTCAGACATCGGGCGGGGATGTGTTAGATAACAAACGTCTAGAGTGTCTGTAGGGTTTCGACATGTAGCAGATGATACCCAGTCGAGGCTTCCCATATTTTTGCTAGGTATTAACCGAGACTGCAGATTTTAAGATCCCCCACAGACTGCCGAAGATTTCAAGCTGTATTTTGGGTAAGAATGAAGGAAGAGGGTAGTGTTTGGTTCTTGTTGATATCCTTGTAAACGAACAAGCGGATAGTGTAGGCCTTACAGAACATTTGACGCCATGGCAGGTATTGATGTCAAATTTCCGCTCCTGCAGATGAGATATGGTAACCCAGTGCTGTGCTCAAGATGTGGAGATTTCTAATCACCCTGACTTGGTTCGGTATCATGGAGAAGTATTAAGCCAATCCACGCGATGGCTGTCTTCGAAACCTAGACTGGAGATATTGGCATGGTCATAAGAAGACAAATTTTAGTGGCTGGACATGTTTCATGGGCCGTTTATGTAATGATGTATAAAGTAATATTTGTTGCACGATTCCAGTTTTAACAGACCACGTCCAATATTCGTGTTTTCCATCAGCGGCGAGCGAACTCTTTGTTACCACAATTGCGCTTGTGGAGTGTGCTTTCTGTGTTTAATAAAGCGGTACAACAAAAAAGCGTTAATAGTGAAGACCAACCGGAAGCCCGTTTTACAGTGCATTCCGTTCAGCGCTTTCCCTTATGAAAACGCTGCGACTTTGTGCACATTCCGTTGAACATCGAAAATTTGTTTTCAGCCGGCGCCTTGCGTGCGTTCATCTGGCTGGTGTAGTTTCTGATTACCTTATAAGACTGTATTTTGTTCCAGACATTTTCTATCAGAAAAAACAGCAATGGAAGCCATGCGACTTGAAGCGTAAACACGAAGTGAAGACCTAACGCGAGTCCCTCATTCTTTCTTATCCGCAGAGATAACACTCTTGATATTCGCCAAGACACTACAATGAAATCTCATATTGACTATCTGGAATCTCGATCCGGATATCAAGGTTACTTGGAAAACAATCAAGATGGCAAGGATGATCCCCTCAAGGATGAAAAGGTGGGAAATACTTCTAGCAGCTGGGTCAAACAACTGGGAGTAATTGTTGAACTGTAACTAGCTGTAGCTAGGGAGAAAAGGGCGAGATTTTCATCAACAAGAAGCCCAAAAACTTTCACTTACACTTTTTTTGGCAACTTTTATGTTTCCTTTTACAGAAGTAGTGTTGTGCTTAAGTTTTATTTCGAATTCGATTTCTTTTATTTTTTTTATAGACTTATGAATACACTAGGGCTGGACGCTCCTGCTGAATATGCCAAAATAAACATTCGCTCTCCCATAGCATTTTGCGTGGACGAAAACCAAATGTGTATTAATTGGAACGGCGTTGGTTGCAACATAATCAAACCACCCACCAATTACCACCAAAGTAGTTCATCTGTTACAGAATTTGTACATTTCCAAGGGATACCAAAAACAGAGGTTGAAATTTCGCTTAGAGTGCATTGAAGTTTCAAATAAAGAGATGCAGCAGAGGCTGTAAACTGGAGGAGTCATCACGCTTTCTCTTTAGAATATTGTGATAAGTAACATTATTTCCTCTTCATGGGAGGGTGTAATAACAGCTACCGTAATTGAAGGATGCAAGTCAGAAAATTGAATAAAAAAGAAATGGCAACTTGACCCAAGAGAAAGAGCTTATTTGTGAGGCGAGGCGGGTATAACAAAACACAGAAAAATCTAAAAACAAAATAAAAACGAGAAACAAAACACAGATAACAATGAAAAATTTAGTTATACAGTGAATGAACAGGTTATAAATTTCGAAATGAACTGTGGAACCACGTTGAAGATGGTTCATTGCTCAACTCCCCACTCAATTAAACTCCACCACATGAAGGGAAAATTCCGTTTACCCGTTTGACGTACAGTGACTGCAGCGGTATAGCGAATACATTCGGCCTGAAAAGCGGTTGATAATAATCAGAAAAGAAACGTCACATGTCGCTCCAGTTTCACATTTTATTGAAAGTACAACGACAACAAGCCTTAACCCTGTACAATGGCCAAGGCCAACCAGAATAAGCTAGGCAACACTGACGTTGGTGACGTCACGCTTTAGGAATTTGAGTTGCTTTCTGTTCTGTTCTACCATTGTGACTGAATGCCCGGGTAGAGCTGCGCCATTTTGTCGTCGGGTAGACACAGCAAAGGAGGTCGGTTGTTCTGCTGTTGTAATTCTCCTGGACTCTCGTAACAAGACACATTGTTCTCCAAGACAACGCATCAAAGATGAAGGGACTTGGATTTCTGATGCCTGTCCTGGTGATGTGTGCATTGAGTCTCTTAAGCATACACGGGGTAGCAGCGCAAACAGGTAAGTCATTCTAATCTCATGGAATGAGCGATGATGTATTCTTGTGTTGTGTGAAGTGGGATTCAAAGGGGATTCATTTTTCACTGATGTCATTTGCATTTTTTTCGGTGAAATTCAATCATTCATTATTCCTGTGACTGATGTGCCCCTAGTCCAGAATAAATCCTATTATGTCGGTAAAACGTTTACCCGGAACAGCTTGATACCAGATCAAAACAATTTGAACAGGCCAAAAACATCGCCCAGGAAAATGGCACATAATTATAAGAAAAAAGCAGACAAGAATAAAGCTAATTCACTTGACCTACGGGTTTCGAGTCATTTTACATAATATTAAGTTTTGCGTATTACATAATTACACATTACCATTGTTATTTTTTTCTCGATCCCAGTCCGCCTTGTTGGTGGAGCATCCTCAAACGAAGGTCGTGTTGAAGTATACTACCAAAGACAGTGGGGTACAGTTTGTGACGATGGATGGGACCTTGATGACGCTAATGTCGTCTGTCGCATGCTTGGCTTACCTCCTGCAACTCATGCCTGGGACAATGCTTACTTCGGCCAAGGATCTGGTCCGATTGCTCTTTGCGATGTCAATTGCAATGGCTATGAATCCAACATTGCTCACTGTCAACACCGAGCCTGGTTTAGCAATGATTGCAGTCACCATGAAGATGCCGGAGTTACCTGTGGTGAGGCCATGATGACGACGCCATTTCCAGGTCAGTCAAGGGTGCTCCACTATAAATAAATTCCCATAGACAGCAGTGCTAAATCCCCATACTTCACAAATATTTTGAAAATACAACTCCCACAGATGTTCAGGCTGCACAAAAAAATGATGTTCCACATGTCCTCTTAAATTTTCCTTTCAATTTTCGGGGGGTTAACCAATGAATTTTTGAGAAATTCTCACCAGAAGCAGACCACCCCTAAAATGCAGAAAATGTCCCTGTCCAGAAAAGTAACCATTTTGAAAAACTCTCCCTCGGCAAAATGGCTCAAATAGTGCCACTTTGAAACCCGACTGCATCCAAATTTCTCAAAATTGGAAGCCCCGAGTCCGGCCCACAGGTCCAGTCTCATATTTCTTCATTTCCTTAGTTCCATGGCTCTCAGGACCCTCTAATATAGAATATTTTGAGTGTATGACTGTGAGCTCGGCGGACATATTTCTGGCCTAATTACGAGGGTGCACCCTCAAGATGTCTGTGTCATGATTTCGTCTCATGCATCTTTCCGACCTTTTCAACCACTGAACACTTGCCACTCTGGTCTGTTTGTCAATATATATTTTGGAGTATTTTTTGTTACTCCGACGGATATTCCAGTAGGCTCAAGGGATTAAGATTTACTTTTGTAACGAAATTTTCCTGATGGAGTAAGTTTGAAGGTTGCAATAGCCTGATAGAGGATGAGCGTAGTGCACTGTTGTGAAGCAAGGCAGTTAAGGCTGTGCGGCGTTTCCGTAATTCACATTCTCAAATAGGTTAATATTGTTTGTATTAAGCAAGTTATGATGCCCTTTTTTATCCCAGGCACAACATTAACTTTACGTTTTTGCCTTGTTGCTAAAAAATTAGCTTCAGTTCGCCTCGTGGAAGGCAGGTCCTCTTACGAAGGTCGTGTTGAGGTATACTACCAAAGCCAGTGGGGTACAGTTTGTGACGATGGTTGGGACCTTGATGACGCTAATGTCGTCTGTCGCATGCTTGGCTTACCCCCTGCAACTNAGGCTCAAGGGATTAAAATTCACTTTTGTCACGAAATTTTCCTGATGGAGTAAGTTTGAAGGTTGCAATTGCCTGATAGAGGATGAGCGTAGTGGACTGTTGTGAAGCACAGCAGTAAAGGCTGTGCGGCGTTTCCGTAATTCACATTCTAAAATAGGTTAATATTGTTTGTATTAATGCCCTTTTTTTCCCAGGCACAACATTAACTTTACGTTTTTGCCTTGTTGCAAAAATTAGCTTCAGTTCGCCTCGTGGAAGGCAGGTCCTCTTACGAAGGTCGTGTTGAGGTATACTACCAAAGCCAGTGGGGTACAGTTTGTGATGATGGTTGGGACCTTGATGACGCTAATGTCGTCTGTCGCATGCTTGGCTTACCTCCTGCAACTCATGCCTGGAGCAATGCTCACTTCGGCCAAGGATCTGGTCCGATTGCTCTTGACGATGTCAATTGCTATGGCTATGAATCCAACATTGCTGATTGCCAACACCGAGCCTGGTTTAGTCATAACTGTGGACATAGTGAAGATGCAGGAGTTACCTGTGGTGAAGACATGACAACGCCAAGTCAAGGTAAGATCGGGTCTGGGTCATATATTTTCCTCTCAGACCTTATAATTTTTTTAACCCATGGGCAACTTCTATTCTGTTCAGTTTGCCTAGATATATTTTGGAGTATTTCTTTTAGGCCTACCTACCAGACGGATATTTCAATACGCTGCAAATATCCTGATGGAGTAAGTTTAGAGGATGAGCGTTGAGTATTAAAACTTGTGCATCACAGTTGTAAGGTGTGTGCAATAAAAAGCGGTGCCTTGACTCACATTTTAGAGTAGTAATAAAATGATGTATAAAGCAAGCGTAAAAGTATCCCGTATTAGGTTGGTAGATTGTTTTTGTCACGGGTAAAACACTTAAATCGTCAACAGATTTCAAATTCACTCAAAATAAATTAGAAGGTTAACTCGACTGTGAACCCTCTCCTGGGGAGGAGTTTTAAAAATTGTTTGGTGTCCAGAAACATTATGATACGACATTGTCTTGTCGCTTTAGTTTCAGTTCGTCTTGTGGGTGGCTTGTCTTCAGACGAAGGTCGTGTTGAGGTATACTACCAAGGCCAGTGGGGTACAGTTTGTGATGACAGTTGGGACGTTGATGACGCTAATGTCGTCTGTCGCATGCTTGGCTTACCTCCTGCAACTCATGCCTGGAGCAATGCTCACTTCGGCCAAGGATCTGGTCCTGATTGCTCTTGACGATGTCAGTTGCTATGGCTATGAATCAAGCATCGCTGACTGTCCACACAATAGCTGGTTTAGCAATGATTGTAGTCACTCTGAAGATGCAGGAGTTACTTGTGGTAAAACCAATACAACACAAGCTCCAGGTTGGTCTGTTTAAATTGATTATTTCCATTCTTAAAACCGCTCTGCATTCTTCAATAAAACCCTTTCCGACATGAACGTCCTTTGGGTACGTTTTCCCCAAAAAATCTGACTTCATCTTGAAGTGACCTTTTCTATCTATCTTAACTCCTGTAGCTATGGGTTTTTTCAAAATAAACTCGAGATTATGTAGAATCGTTGCATTGCTGTGGCTAAATCCATCACAAGACTACCACGCCCCAGGTCACAAGTTAATCAGGACCCGGTTGAAAAGTCTGGCTGGAGAGAGCAGATCGAGATAGTGGTGAGGGCTTCATCCCCCAAGAAGATTCAATGCACACGCACATCTTACACAACCAGGGCTGATATAGTCGTAATCCAAGTCCCTGTGGCGAACCTGGGGAAGGGGCTTGGGTATCATAACCTGCTATTTTGGAGGTAAATTCCGGTCCAAGCTCCCTTCCTCACCCAACAAGCAACCCTGGTGAACTGAGTGGAGGACTGACTTTTTTGACCTGAATACCTTGACATTGGACTAGGAANATTAAAATTGATTTTTTCCATTCTTAAAACCACTCTGCATTCTTCAATAAAACCCTTTCCGACATGAACGTCCTTTGGGTACGTCTGATGTGAGTTTTTCCCCAAAACATCTGACTTCATCTTGAAGTGACCTTTTCTATCTATCTTAACTCCTGTTGCTGTGGGTTTAAAAAAATGATCTCGAGATTATGTAGAATCGTTGCATTGCTGTGGCTAAATCCACCACAAGACTACCACGTCCCAGATCACAAGTCAATCAGGACCCGGTTGAAAAGTCTGGCTGGAGAGAGCAGATCGAGATAGTGGTGCACCAGAGGTGAAGAGGGCTTCATCCCCCAAGAAGATTCAATGCACACGCACATCTTACACAACCAGTGGCGAACTTGTGGCGAACCTGGGGAAGGGGCTTGGGTATCATAACCTGCTATTTTGGAGGTAAATTCCGGTCCAAGCTCCCCCCTCACCCAACAAGCAACCCTGGTGAACTGAGTGGAGGACTGACTTTTTTGACCTGAATACCTTGACATTGGACTAGGAGACTCTTGGTAGGTTGTAAATGACTCAAGGAGATGTGAGAGTAATTGTTTTTGACTTTCCTTGTATTTGTAACCAAGGATTCCTTAACAGCAGCCTAGGCACTGTAACTCCAAAGCCTGAAAAAGTTGTTGTGGAGTTCTCATATTTAAAAAGAGAGGATTATTCTTGACTTATACAGGCGATTTATCCATCCTTCATTTTTCCGGGAGTTCGCCATCAGAAGGCACAGTGCAAGTTTGGAGCAATGGTCAGTATTTTGACCTGTGTAGCGATGAGTGGGACCACAATGCTGCTAAAGTAGTCTGTCGTCAGAAGGGGTATCTAACCAACGCAGTGTCTGTGACTTACAACACCAAGTACTTCGGTGAGTAATATAACCGCAGAAATGTCATTTACTTGTGAGTTTAACTGAGAGACATTGAGAATGGATGACACAAAAACTTTGGTTTTCCTTGAATTGCAAGTTATTTGAAACCCAATCACATTATATGTATTTGTGTAAGTCGTAAGTCGGTGCTCGATTTATACCCTGTCTGCAACCTTCAGATAAAACAGAGATGTAACGCATAATTAAAACATCCTCTGTTTAATTCAAAGTTTTAAACGAAAACAAATGTCCAAAAAAGGGGAACATGTGGGCATCATTGTTTTCAATGCATTTTTTGGACTGAATCCATTTGTTTTCATTGAAGGTCCTTTCCACGCGTACTATCTGTATTGCTTTGGTTATGAAAATGACCTTTCCCAGTGCGCAACGCCCACAACCTGGAACTCTCCAACATGTAGAACTGCCAAAGTGAACTGTCGAGCATACCCAGGTAAAGGTATTGCCAGATCTGTGTGTAGAGAGAAGGGCCAACTTTAGACTTTGGAAACAAAATGGCTGTTCATTATGTGTGCAACACAGCATGCAGCTAGTGCGTACCAAGTGCCCATGTGCACTGAGGCATTATCGTCCATTTTGGTCCCAACAATTAACGGCACTCACGTCGCAACTTTCTCCATAAACCGCTCTGGGTATTGTTTTCTTATATGTTAAATAGGACTGAATGAGAAGAATGGTATATGCATGAAACATTCACCCCTTTTATTTAAATTGGTCTTAACAATTGATTAATATCGTAAACTTTACGATGTCTGCGATGAGCGAAGGGCTTGTCATTCGTTATGATTCACCATATTTCTGTGTTGATCCTTACTAGGCCTCTCAACCGGCGCTGTTGTTGGTATCGCTATTGGCTCTGCATTGGCGGTGATCTTTATCGTCATCATTGTCGTCATAGCTTTAGCCAGAGGCAAGTGCAGAAAGCCGTCACAGACATCCAATATGAACATACCCTTGTCTACAGCCGCGCAGCCACCAGCGACGGATCCGAGTTCTTCTGGGACCACAGGCACCAGTAACACCGTTTATCGGGATTCCCTTGCCCAGCCCGCGTCTTATCAACCACCCCCAGGGTACTACCCAATGCCCTTCAGCAACCAACCCCAACCCATTCCATCCCAAGCACCTTCTACGTGGGCTCCCGTAGGGGCATCCCCCGTACCAACCGCTGGTAGTGCTCTGACCCCACACTCTGGATTTGCCCACGTGCATACTCCCTCATACGCCAACGTTGCTCCTCTGCCATCACCCCAAACCCAGTTTGTCCCAGTAGACCCTCCCATGGTTCAGTCGTCTGAACCAACCCATGAGTTATCTTTACGCTCTGCCACTTATCCCGATAGAAATGCAGACAACACTGTTCAGGTCAAAGGTGTCAGCGGAAACGCTGAATTATCCATGTAATTAAGTACATGTATGAAAAAAAATTATTGCGCAGGAACATCATTACTTTGATGGTAAGGCCACTTAAAAAAAGATAGTTTAGTATCAGTTGTATTTGCAAAAA